CATCACAGACCAGAACACCACCAAAGATATACGAAATTTCTTCAAAATCAGGCTGTTGAGACTATAAATGGTATCTTGAATATAGGGAAACTTTTGGTTAGTTTAGAATTTGAACTATTTTAGTATGCACGTATGACAAGTTAGCAGAGAGTTGCTGTTATTTTATACTACAAACTAAAAAATATGTCTATTTGTTTGGATCAATTATCAATATTTTTTTTAGTTTTTGCTAAATTGAGCCCTGTTGTATAGTCTTCAAAGTCACTTTAAAAAGCCAGTAACTGCCTCCGGTTATATGAGATTTGTCTCAAGGTACTATTGTATGAAACTCTTCATGGCCTCATACTGATATAAAAGATGCAAGGCAGTTTACATCAACTCCGAATTTCTATAGATACCTGCTCAGAACACTATGTAACAAGTCGCGTAATTTTCAGAAAGTATTTTGCAGATTCCCCGCTATTGGATACTAGTGATTTTAATCAAATTCCGCTAATGCTAGGAACTGTGTCTGCCGAATTTCTTGATAGGCTTCAGTAATCATTTTTTGACAGATTCCTTAACGTCACGCTCTAGTTGGAATTGTTTTAGCTCTGGTCAGCGCTGGCGCTGTATTATATGGTCTTAGTGTAAGTAACTTAATTCCTCCTGCCCTAGAACCTTTACCAGGAACCAATTTAACAGTACTTGGAAATATTAACAAAAAAGCGTATGTGGGCAAATTTGGATAATTTGTAGCTAATATTTTGCAAGCGTTAGAAGTAAAAAAAAAAATACTAAGCCGGAAATACGTGATCTGCACGTCAGGAAATAAGAACGAACTTATCTTAGCTAGCTTCTTAGCTTATTCCTTAGCTACCGAATGAGTAAAATAATAATTAATTAATAATTGATAAAAAAAAATTTTTTTCTTCGTGACAAAATAACTTTCTAGATCACTAGCGATATTTTTGTGAGACCAACGATCAAAGAGGCCGAAGTACAATCGAATTTCACGCCCTTGTACCTCTACGAATTCACATTTGCTGCAACTGGAAATAAAGGCCGCGATATTATACCAGGTATGTGTATTAAAACGATTTTAAGATAAAATTTGTCAATTCAGGGTGAGGCAGAGTTGAGCATAGCGACAAACTCGACTATATTTTTGACATTGCCGACATACCACTAAAAGCCTACGCTGTCTATCTCACTAGACAACGTATCTTCAGATTATGGAGCAACTTTGTATGGACAATGTAACTAATTGGAAATTAAAATAAACCAATGCTATGCAACAAAAAAACAATGTTTTAGGAATCCCACACCTGATGTCTTCGATCCGCTTCTGAACGTTACGTGGCCAGAAGTTAAACGGACGAATATTCAGTACCTCGATATTGGCGACACTCTTCAAGCAAAACAAAATAGAAAGGCTACCCAGTACGCATTGTGTAATGAAGTTTTCTATACCGTTTAAAGGATTTTAAAATGATTTTGCTAACAACTTTCCAAAGACGATCTAACTCAATTGGAATAACAAAAGGAACGAATGTTATGAAATAAAATAGCAATATTTTAGGAATCCCACACCTGATATCACCGATTCAAGTTACACCGACATGGTACTCTTGAAAATCAATTGAATAGAGAGCCTGGTCAGTTAGCAGTGTGGAATGAAGTTTTCTATACCTACGAAACGAAATCTTTCAAAGGATTTTAACATTTATTTACTAACAACCACCCAACACTTTAAAAAATTATACTAATTTAATAGATTGGTTTTACATTTAAATCAATCAAACATCCTTTCTCTATAATTAAGAATACGTCGTTAAGTAACTGTAGTTATAACAAAATAATAGTATACCATTTCGCGGTCTAGTCGATCCCTAACTCCCCATTCTCAACAATGGATTGAATATACTCCCAAAATTTTGTATATGGTATTTCAGAATCTGATCCTTGAAGGGGCGGATCCGCAGGTGATTTTAAGATGAGTTCAAAAACTTATTGCACTACAGTGTATCAAACTATTAAGGAAAAAAATCGTTTTGCATTTTGCATAGGATGCAGGGCTATTATCGACGACAATTATTATCGAAAATTATTTTTGAAATCTCGATTGACGGTTTCCGACGAAAAAATTAACAAGGGTTAAATATATACATAGCGCCATGTCCCCATGACACCTGGAAGCAGTTTGCCGAAATAGTCCAGATAAATAAGAAAATAATGGTTTTTGTTCGTCTCCACTTTTCAGACTACTCGTTAATCCTATACACAGTTTAGAAGCAAATTGACGGTAACAGTACCATTTCGAGAGAGACTTCTGCACATAGCCAGGTATTTTTGTGGAAGATATTTTGACAACACGAATTCAAAGTTTCGTCTTTATTAACATAATTTATTAGACTCCAGTTCCATTCGAATCATGGTAAGGCATTTGAGATGCCAGACAATTGTATTTACTGTAAACAACAACCGGTCCGTTCAAAAAGAAGACTGTCTGTCAATATCTACACTGCTTCGGGAAATGTAAGTATTAACAATGAAAAAAGAATTAATGAAAAAATGAATGAGTTTTTCCACGCAATCCTTTTAATAAGGTGCTTATCTTTGAGAGTTACGAGACTTTAAAATATGAAGTCCAAATAAACATTATTGTCCACAAATGTTTTTTACCAGACATTTTTTTAAACAGTGGCACCCGTGTAGAATGCAAGACTAAATAATTTGGGAAATATTATTTCTACGACACTGATTTTTTTTCAATTTAAAATTATCTTTCATATCCCCATTGAAGGTGTTAAATAAAAAGTGAACAAAGACAAAATGTATACAAATATACATGTTTGTAGCATTTACCAAAATCCTATTGCCATTAATAAAAATTTGACTTAGTAATGTGACTGCAATATAAATTTTTTCTGACTAAATAACATAATATATAATAAATGCCCGAAATGCTTAAAACTCAGTAACCTGATTTATCTCTAAGAGAAGCGATATATTAAAAAAAAAAATCAAACACAGGAAGTCGATTAATGATTGGTATTCGTACAATAGCCATCCGTCTCCCAATCTGTAGAATTATGTAATAAATTTTATACCTTGAAATATACTGGTATCTCTATTTTTTTTTAAATAGGCGGATATTTTTTCAGTTTTGTTGAGTGGTAGCTGGCATTATCTACGACTGTAGCAGACCCAGCATTTGCTGGAAGTTGTCTTCACGCACATCAACATTCCTGCCTTAATGTTTTACTAATGGTATGTCCTTCATTTACCTAAGGTTCACCCAGATAATATATATCTTTTAATGGTTTCCCTTCAAAACTGTTTAACTTTTCTGAAAAATTATTTTTGCCAGCAGATAATTTTACCCATCTCTATCAAATAAGTCTTTTTTTACGAAATGTTTTTTGCAAGCTGATGCAGCCTCGTACAGAAGTCGGCATATTGAATTCAGTCATATTCGAAAAGATTTCAACTATTTTACTCATTTTTAGAAAGTGCAGTTTTATTAATCCGTTTCTCCACAACAAAATTAGGAACACTAGACATTTTTAAAAACGAACTTTGCCAACAACTAGCGCAAAGTAACTATAATTCTAATTTTTAACAATTAGGCATAGGTAGGCCAACTATTTGTACATCAACCTGCTTCTCTCGAGACCCTTTAACAATCATTATGGGTACGTACTACGCTCATGGAAGATCACTATTTCTTAAGCTTTAATAATAATTTTTTTAACTCTCTGACATTCAGAAACGTGGAAGGTTTTAAATTCGGTGGTGGGAATACTTATCGACCTGATGATTTCTCAAATTGCAGTACTAACTAAATCGAGATAATTTAAAAATAATTCGCAAAACGCACTTATAAACTATGATATAATTAGATGAAACTGTGATACATGTAACCTTGCAGTAACTTCGGAAATTTGGAGAGACCGATACCATAATGCTTTTAAAATCTGGGTGTACCTTTGTCGCACTCAAATGTACAGGTAATACTTTTGGTGTATTGTAGATAAATGTAGTAGATTTTATAATTAGCTTTCTAGCTGTAAATAGGATATTTTCCGAAGGACAAAAAACAGATAGCCAAGGTGAGGTTAAACAAAAACCCAATTGGGATTAAAGACTTTTTTTAGATAATGTATTATCTCTCGAAAAATCAGAATCCTATGAACGTCTGTTGGCCGTATGTGTAGTAAACTTCGTTCCACATTCCCATTTCATTTGCCTTTTTACCGGGCTTAATCTCAAGAGTCGTATCTACCGTATCTAAACTTGAGGCCACGTTATATTGAGGAGAAGGTCCGACTCATCCGGCGTGGGATTCTTAAAAATATAAACGTAAAGAATTACAGAAACAGAAGTAAAAACGCAACCCACAGTGTCTTCGCGAAATTGGTTCATAATCTGGTCATTCTGCTTCTCGTTAGAAGCTCCTCGTCTGTGGTAAACGGAAAGAAATCAAACAAATAAAGCACATCCTCTCCATGACCCACTTTTCCAGCGCCTTAAAATAAAAAAGATTTTCTTCTTTCTGTAGATATACCTTCAACAGTAGTATGTAAATTACTTAATGTTCTAGAGAAAGAAAACTGGTAAAAATATACAGGAGAATAATTCGATTGGAGTTCAGCTTGCTTGAGTGATGATCTTACAAACAAATTGTCGCTGGTAAACTGAAAATTATTAAGACTATATAAAATACTTAATTTTAAGATAAAAACATATGTGCTTCATGTGAAATAATTTCCATCACTAAATGAGATTACCTCAACAAAAGAAGCCAAATTCAGTAGAAATGACTGGTTGGTATATGCCTGTTTGATTAATCCTTCAACTTCGGTTAAATCAGTACCCGGCAAAGTATTTAATTTTGTGGGTATTAAATACTGCTGGTTCAAATCATAAGCAAGGGCAAAGACGATTAATTCCGGCAGTAAAACTAAAATGTGATTAATTTCATATTTTTAAACCTAAAATAAACATATGCAAAGCAACTACACACTTCCGTAAAACGTAAGTGATTCGCCGGAAGTTGTTCCGATCAGTAGAGGTATTTGGTTAAAGTTTCCCGACTCGATCAATCCGAACTGACGATCCGTTATATATGCATCATCGTCTTCAACTTCTATTACCGGTCCCGCCTACAATAATGACTTATACGAGGATGTATTTTAAATTTAGCATCCACTTACTTGGGAGCTTGCGCTGAAGGCATTAGTCAACTAACATCAGCTGGTTGACTCTGCAGGAAATTTCTGATTTCCTCGCTGTTTTGGGAAATAGATGAATTTATAGATCTGGCGACGTCGTAGGCAACTTGCTTCGGATCTGATTGAGACGTTAGTGCCAAACTCGGCAAAGAACAACGGCTCTGGCAAATCGCTGCTCTATATAATCCTGCCGATTTCTTGTTCGCAATATGTGCTCCGACGGATATGCCACCTGCGCTCACACCAAGTATTATCACTTTTTTTGGATCGCCACCAAAATATTCAATATTTTTCTGACTCCACTTCATCGCTAATAGTTGGTGCTTGAGTCCAGCGTTACCCAAAATAACGCTATCATTGGTACATAAACTTTGACGTCAAACAGCAAAATTCGGTGTATATCTCTTTGGAGTAATTTAAGTAAGTAAAACTATGGTAAGGAAACAGATAAAGTGGATTGTTTTTTTACACTGTCACTGCATATGCATATGATTTAATTGAATTTATTGATCTCCTAAATTAAATACCAATAATGAAAAAAAGTAATTCATAATTACCATGCACCAAAAACAGATAAATGGAGACAGAACACACTTTTATATTAAATAATTAAACTAATCCTAATAATAATTAAAATGTTTCGCCTTAGCATTTCTGCGAACTAAACTATATTTTCTCAATTAAAACTTGTTGGATTTTCTTTTGAAAATGCAATGTTAATTTTTGAATGTGACATTTATTATTTAATTTCTACTTTCTGTTGAAGAACTTACATTTCTCGGAGGCGTGTAGACATTAATATAAAGGCAATCCTCACTTTGTTCCGCTCCACTTATAGAAAAACTCGTCGATATGCAACCATTTTTCGCTTCAGTAGCATCTAGAATTCCATCCCATGGCGCGTTTGGCACTGGAGCCTGCAATTATATTTTTTTCCAAATCTGTAGAGAGTGGACCGGTCAGTAATAATTTACCTGAAACCTCAAATTTCCTAAAGGAGGAATTGCAAACGGAATACCGCGATGACCATAGTAGGTATTGTTTTCGGTTGTGGTTTCGTATCCGCGAATTGTGCCATCCGGAAGATCGATCAAAAGATCTGCATGCTGAAAAGAAGAAATTTATCTTATATAAACGTTCCTATATATGAGCGTCGGTTGACTGCAAAATAATAGGTCACTCGCTACTAATCATATTTCCCTAAGAATTGAGAAAATTTTAACTATATAACTCCGAAAACCAACAAACAGAAGATTAGAAAGCTACACACCAAATACTAGAAATAAGTCAAAATAACTATGCCGCTAGATAAGACTGTGACAGTGAGTCCAGTCTTGAGATGTATGATAAATCAGCTACTTAGATACTTAGTCTTAGAGAATAAAAAATACAAATATTGCTTTTAAATTACTCACCACAAACGATATTAATAATACGCCTAACAGAAGTTGTTTATGCATCATGACTTTGTCTGTTTCGAGGTTCCGTTTAAGATCTTCAATATTTATTCAAATCGGCGATGCTTGAAAACGATAAGTACTTACCTATTTAAAATACTGTCTTATATTTTAAGTGAATCATCACATATCACAATGCTAAACTGGCTGAATAGATGGCTGCTCGACAAGCACCTTACGGATTAGTAGTTCCCATTAATATTATTGTGACAGCCAGACATTCAAATTGCTAGATATAAATCTAGCAAAATACATAAATCTATATAAATCCAGCAAAATTCGATGCTAAGGAATATTTTTGAAAAAATGGTATATGCGTCTTATTTCTAGTTGGAACAGAGCAAACCTGGAGACACAGTTGGCAATCGGTTAGCTAAGAACAAAATTAAATGTAAACATACTATTGATCAGGCAGTCCAGATATTTTACCAAGACTATCAAATAATACTCAAGCAGTTGGTCTGTATGACACTGTGATCCAAAGCATATATTGTGACTGCTTGGTATAGCTGGCTTAGTTACACCCAGCAGGTGTTCGATAGGCCTTCGCATGAGTTCATCTTATTGTATATTATTTTTTGTCTATATACTCGGGTTGGCCCAAATAAATATTTAAATTAAAATTCCAACAAATATGTTATCACAGTCTATCATCAATCAGCGATGAACGTTGTTAAGTACCTAGTAATCCTTGTAAACTTTGGACCACCATATTTATTGACTGTTACATTTATGGATCTGGTGTATTAGTGAGTTTATTGCAAAATTTTTAAAAGAATTATTTCAACTTTTAAACAAAAGTTCAAGGGGGAGGGCTTACGTTTTTTCGCACAGTTACTATTATCTAGAACTACATAGCACTACTAACTACCACCTATGATGGTGTACTTCAGTGAAGCTTCATTTAAAATGGGCTGTTCGGCGGGTACTCGCATTGAAATGGGAACAAGAAAATACGGGTAATATTTGGTCAAAGTGTCGCTGGATATCTCTTTTGAACAAACGCTTTTCAAGATCACATTTAAACATAACTAGAGTTATCCTTTCTACCTGAGAAATTTGGTCAGTGCCAATCTATTAAGTGCCTTCGTTACAGATCAAAATAGTTCTTGCAAAGTCACCCTATCGAAACTTTAAGTAGTGTTTCTAATACCAAAAGTTTTTGGTAGGTACACACAAACCCAAAAGTTTCACACAACCGCAAGGAACGATTGCAGGATTGCCTTTTCAAGCCGGGGTCTCCTAATTTGTGGTAACAATATTTGTAAATGTCAGTAACAACAGAATATTGTCTTCCCCAATGAATCATTTAGTTGGTTAACCACTTGACTGAGCAGATTATATGAATGTGACTATACATTATTGTAATAGATTATGTAAGTTGCATTGCAAGTCGAAAATGATTATGCTTATATGCCGTCCCCACTACTGGAATCTTGAGATTTCAATCAAGTTCCATTTAATATTATTAACTATGTATGCAGAGTTCCCTACTGGTGCGGTAATACAAACCGTGTGTACAGACCTGAATCTTACAATTTCTGTAAATTGAGCTAAATTCAACAAAGAATTTAAGCTTTCCATTTTTTCAAACGCCCTCGGAAGTAAACACTCCTTCTGCATTGCTCCTGTCTTGTTTAAATTGACTCTGTTTCTCTGATGTTCCGTCATACATACTGTTTTAGTTACTCGCAGCGACCTGAAGATGCGAAACGTCAGCGAGGCAGAATTAGCAGCCGAAACAGAAGAATTCAAGAAGAAGCGAATGTTGTAATGACGGATCTTCAGATGACAGAATTCTTGACCACCGCCAATGTTGGAGGAGTAAAATTCGGTTACCACATTTTTTAGTACGGATCGAGTACAACAACAGATGTACAAAATCATAATTAATCACATCTAAAATAACCCGGATAACTGACCCTATTTGGTAATTCTCTAAGTAATTTGCTTAAAGCAATTTGAATAGATTTATTGCATCAGTTATATCCCTGACGATTTTGGTTTAAGACATTAGTGGGTCGTTTTTTCCTTTTAAGACAAGAAGTTATAGTTTTGGTTAGTTTCAATATTTTATTGCATTAGAAAAGAGTTCTTCAATTTTTGTATTTTTGGACCATCCGGTATTATATGTAAAATATATTTTTTAATATCACGTTTTAAAAATTTAAAACTTAAGCCATAATGCTTCGTGACAAACAAGGTCTATACGATATGATATTGGGAACACTACACACGAAATGTAATAGAGAGGCTACCGAATCTGCAATTTTGAACAACATTCACGATACGTACGGAACTAAACCTTTTAAAAGGGTTTCAACAGTCCATATATTATTAAATCACCATGTGACAAGAAGAAAATATGTCTAATTATTCGAATAAAATCATAGAAATTAAAATTGATATTGATTACTTATAGGACCGCCAAGTAGTTGCTACTAAGAGTATATTAAATATATAGAAAAGTTGCCAAAGGCCACTTTAGTCACGAGTTTGGTTTGGTATGAATAGAGCGTCTAATAAACGGGGAACTGAAACGTTTATCAGCTTGCGTCAGTAACAAAGCTGGCATATCAAAGGATAGAAAAAAACTGTAATAAAAATATTTAGCGAGATAAAAAATATATAATACTTAATGACAATAACAATTCAATAGCATTTTTAGTTGTCCTAATTTGCAGGTTGCAACAAATTTCATAAAAAGCACTCCGCTTTCGCTTTTAGCAACAACGTTTTCAACTTTATCTGTATAAAGCTCGTATATAAAAATTCAGAACAATTTTATGACTTTGGCATATCAGAATATTTCACGAAATTCTACGCAAGCGATGTTAATTACCTCATTAAGAGATAATTTTTAATTTTAAACAATTCCATTGCAAAAATTAATATACTAGTTCGGGAATATTCCTAACCCACCCTAATGCGTTTCTAATTGTTGACTGCCATTTTTGTAACTTCATTTTTACCAATGGTAAATTTTCCTATAGTAAGCGTTTATTTATATGTTATATTTCTGATATTAGAAAACCCTTGTAAGCAGTAATTGGTGTGCAAATATATTCCCATTCCCAATTCCGATGATAATTTGCAACTTGTCATATTCTGAATCTGGTTATATCAGTTCGCATTCATATAACAATTGGATAGACCATCACATCGTTAGCTACTTTAAAACGAATGAACTGCGATATACTACGTGCATTTTGAAAACCAACATCTAAAAATAGTGAGGAGGACCATTCAATATGTCAGTCACGATTTAGTTGGGAATAGTTGGGGGGGGGGGGGGGGGTTACCTTACACTGAGCAAGATTTTTGATTAATCTTTCGCCAATGCATAATCGGCACTAAGGGAGAGCAAAACGGAAGTCGGCACTGGGATGGGCCAATGATGAATGAATTAATATGTTCAAGTCAAATATATGCATTGTTAGATTAGATTAATGCCAGCTTTCGATATGCAATACTGATTAAATAAAATGCAATTTGCTTTGATAAAATATTATAATTGTTAATAAGATGCTACATAATCAAAATCCTACGAAAGGCTGTTCGCCATACGCGTAGAAAACTTCGTTCCACATAGCCATCTGTTTCTCCTTTTTCCCAGGCTTGACTTCGAGAGTCGCACCTATATCGAGATAAGGGATGTTTGAACCCGAAACTTGAGGCCATGTTACGTTGAGTAGCGGGTCCGATTTATCGGAGGTAGGATTTCTATGAAATTAAAATATATAGAATTGTAAAATCAGATTCAGCAGAACGTAACCCACAATGTTTTGGCGAAATTAGTCCATAGACGGACCATTCTTCTTCTTGTTAGCAACTCTTCGTCTGTAGTTAATGGATATATTGGCGCCTCAAAGATATAAAACAGTTCTTCTGCGTGTCCTACTGTTCCAGTACCTTAAAATCAAAATAATGTTCTTCGTTGTTCTATTTGTAAGTATATACTGTATACCTTCAACTTTGATATGGAATGAACTTCCGCTTCCAGAATAAGAAAACTGGTAAAAATACACGGTGCTGTAATTGGATTGAAGTTCAGCTTGTTTGAGAGACGATCTTACAAACAAAGTGTCGCTTGTAAACTGAAAATTATTAACGTCACACAGAAACACAAAAAAGCAAACTTAAATCCCGGATTCAATATTTAACTATGCAGGGTGTCCAAATAGTGTACCAAAGATATATATATATATATATATATATATATATATATATATATATATATATATATATATATATATATATATATATATATATATATATATATATATATATATATATATATATATATATATATATATATATATATATATATATATATATATATATATATATATATATATATATATATATATATATATATATATATATATATATATATATATATATATATATATATATATATATATATATATATATATATATATATATATATATATATATATATATATATATATATATATATATATATATATATATATATATATATATATATATATATATATATATATATATATATATATATATATATATATATATATATATATATATATATATATATATATATATATATATATATATATATATATATATATATATATATATATATATATTTATATATATATATATATATATATATAATATATATAGATATATATATATATATATATATATATAATATATATATATATATTATATATTTGTATTCGTATATATGTATAAGATTTTTATAGATATTTATAT